CCCCCCCCCCCCTCGAAATTGGACTCCTTCAGATCTTGATCTTCGTCTCCATCCCTCTCTCGCGGGACCCCTAGAATCAGATCGGCGATTGGATTTTGCATGTTTTTGAATCGAATGAGATATTGATTGACAATTGAATTGGGGATATTGTGGACTCGGTCGATTGGAGGACGAGTTATGTCCGGGAAGGGTGACTCGGCGGTGTCGATTTCGGTCCCGTACCGGAATCTGAGGAAGGAGATTGAGTTGGAGATGGTGACCCATCACCAGACCGGACCGTCTTCCTCCGTTTCGTCGTCTTCCTCTTCTCCTCATCAACGGTCGGATCATCCAAATCAGTCAGATGTGGAAACTGCGGCGCAAAATTGTAGTTTAGCGACTCTGATCCTCAGTTGTACGGTCGCCGCTGGTGTTCAGTTTGGTTGGGCATTGCAGCTCTCTCTTCTCACTCCTTACATCCAGGTACCGATTCTCGTTCTTCTCTCTGTCATTTCCGTTTTTGGTTTATTCTAGGGTTTTCCCGCAACTGGATGCTCTATCGTATCTACGTTGGTCGTTACTGTATAGTTTGTACGAGTAAGTACAGTACATTTTGCTGTACATACTACATAGCCAGAAATCATGCGGTCTAAGTTTCTTCGTTTCTGGTCTAAAGTAAAGCTGTTAACCCATTTTTTACATTGGGATGAGATTTCACAATCAATGCGCGAAGTAGAGTTACAATACTTTCTCCTAGGGAATTCGTATGATATTATCTGTGTCACGACAGCTTCACTTTAGGGTGAGCTGCGGCTTGTGCATGCCAAAAATGGAGGTACCATGTAGTTCTTCTAGTGTCCCTCTTCCACCTTCACGTAGTAAAAGCTGCAAGAAGCCTTCTCGCGGTGTCTGCAGCATAGATTCAAACAAGTATGTGGGAACAGCATGAAGTTAAAATATTTACATGCTAATTCGGTGGGTCATTTTTAGGCATTGGCCTATAGTTACGGATAGCCATGAAGGAGCTTAGGTCATTTGCTAACGGACGTTGTTGGCTATTCAAACTGTTGTCACTTATGAACCCTTTGGATGTGTCTGACATTGTTGCTTTGACTGATTGGTGCAGACACTTGGAATAGAGCATGCTTTTTCTTCGTTCATATGGCTTTGCGGTCCAATTACCGGCCTTGTGGTAGGTTTTCTTATTCTCTCCATTTGTTTTGTTGAAATTAAATTAATCTTTTGGAAGGAATGTATATGTGCATATAATGATGTGCAAAACTTCTACGTGCAGATTTCACTAGAAGTAATATGCTATCTGTAAATGATCAGAAACTTTTTATTGTGTGAATGTGAGACATTCTTTTGTTACATTTAGTTGGAAGTCACCTGATTTTTTTTGCTTGTTGGGTTTTAGGTCCAACCTTGTGTGGGCATTTGGAGTGATAAATGCTGTTCCAAGTATGGAAGAAGACGCCCATTTATTCTTGTTGGATCACTCATGATCTCAGTAGCTGTAAGGACCAGAAGAATATACACTTCTCTCATTTTCCATTTAACAAAGAACCGATATCTACCCTGTTTACATACGCTAAACAAATCCTTTCAATTTAGGTGATAATAATCGGGTTTTCTGCAGACATCGGATATCTATTAGGGGACACAAAGGAATCTTGCAGGTTGGTCATCCCTTTTTGTTGTATCTTTTTTAGTGAATTCGAAAATTGAATTAATGAATGTATATCCTTAAATGCAGCAATTTCAAAGGCACACGGACAAGGGCAGCTTTTGTCTTTGTCATTGGGTTTTGGATGTTGGATCTTGCGAACAATACAGTGCAGGTGAAGATTTGTTTTTTCCCATTCTACAAGAGTTAGTGCTCATTGCCTTATTTCTAAAAATGTGGCTTCCTGCTTTTGTTTCAGGGACCAGCTCGTGCCCTTTTAGCAGATTTATCAGGTGAATGACCAAATCCCACCTTACCATTTAACTTCCAAAATTTTGCATGACAATGTGGAAATAGATGGGATATATTATGCTTCTTGTTTTGTTTGTTCTAAACTTTTGAGATGTTTCAATCTTTATCTAAGGTCCTGATCAGCGGAATTCTGCAAATGCTGTGTTTTGCTCATGGATGGCCGTTGGAAACATTCTTGGGTTTTCTGCCGGTGCTAGTGGACATTGGCATGAGTAAGTTTGGTTATTGTTATCTCACAATCTAAATTCCTTTTTCCTTTTGCATTTTCTCATCGGTTGTGTCATATCAAGTGATAAGTTGGCCTTTTTTTTAACAGATGGTTTCCATTCCTTAAGAGTAGAGCTTGCTGTGAAGTTTGTGGAAATCTGAAAGCAGCATTTCTTCTTGCAGTGGTAAGTTTCACATGTGTATATTCTCTGAGACATGCACTGTCACGTATACAATTCTGTTAAAAATTTAAAATGATTTAGAACATACTGTTCATTATAGTTCACTCTGGCATCCATTCTGGTTTGTCTGAAGAGTTAATGTATTTCAGGTGTTCCTTACTGTATGTACTCTTGTGACTCTCTATTTTGCTAAAGAGATTCCGCTAACAAGCAATAAGCCCAACCGCTTACCAGATTCTGCTCCTTTGTTGGATGATCTCCAACCTAACGGGCTTGTGCGCTCAAATTCGAAGCATGGTACGGCCAATGGAATCAAATATGAGAGTGCACCGGAACATGATATGGATGTCAGGCTTGGCAAGTCAAAGACTGAGCATCAGAATGAGACTTTTGACGGCCCTGGAGCTGTTCTGGTGAATTTATTAACCAGTTTAAGACATTTACCTCCTGCAATGCATTCTGTCCTTATCGTCATGGCTCTTACATGGGTGAGTGCTGAATCCTTTAGGCACCAAGAGTTGCTAGGAAATTATTATGTAACTTTGTCCTGGCGTTGCCTAGTCGTATTACTACATTTATCGCCTTTCCATCAGTGTTTTCTGTTCTGAGTTCCACATGTGGTCTTTAATTCCACTTGTCCTCTTCTCTTAATTTTGATATTGGGCTTACGTGCAGTTATCCTGGTTCCCCTTTTTTCTATTCGACACTGATTGGATGGGGAAAGAAGTTTACCATGGGAATCCGAAAGGAGATTCTCTTGAAGTGGAACTCTATGATCAGGGCGTTCGCGAAGGTGCATTTGGTTTGCTACTAAATTCTGTAAGAATCAATGCTGCAATCAACAAAACGAGTGTTTCTTGTTTGCTCATAGAATGAATGAGCCCATAAATTTTATCATTTTTCTTTGACGTTTTTTGTAGGTGGTTCTTGGGATTAGCTCGTTCTTTATCGAGCCAATGTGTCAGCGGATGGGTGCAAGGGTTGTCTGGGCACTGAGTAATTTTACAGTGTTTGTGTGCATGGCAGGCACAGCTATCATTAGCTTGATGTCTCTCAGAGACTACTCTAAAGGAATTGAACACATAATAGAAGGAAATGAGACAACCAGAACTGCGGCTGTTATTGTCTTTGCACTTCTTGGTTTTCCTCTTGCTGTAGGTGTCTTATCTTCTCTACTTCTCGTCCCTCTTGCAATTCTTCTCTAAAATATGATACGTTCTGCAGATCACATATAGCGTCCCTTTCTCAGTCACGGCAGAGGTCACTGCTGGCTCGGGTGGCGGCCAAGGTCGGCATATACTACATGCCATTGTCTATGCCTTACCTTAGATTTTTTTTTGGGGGGGTTTGGGAAAGCTGATTCCCGATAGTTTTCTAACGATTTTTTGCAGGACTGGCTATCGGAGTATTGAATCTTGCAATCGTTATCCCACAGGTAGATGAATCCACTTGTTTCCTTCCTCCTTTTTTACACACCTCGAACTGGTAACTCATATCTTCACAGTTCGATATGGTCTGTCTGATCTGAGTAGAATGCTTGTGTCGTGTGTGTGTATATATATATGGGTGTGGTTTCATTCAGATGGTGGTATCTCTTGGGGCGGGTCCATGGGATGCACTATTCGGGGGAGGAAACCTACCGGCGTTCGTCTTGGCCTCTATTGCTGCCTTTGCAGCCGGAATCATCGCCATGCGTAAGCTGCCCGATCTCTCCACTTCCTTCAAGTCCTCTGGCTTCCATTTCGGTTAATACACGAACAGACAGCTCGGTTTACAAGTAATAGAATGGAGACGTCCACATATAGCAACGATGAGGTGGTTCGGCATATTCAGGTTATAAGATTTGAGATTGGTTTTGATTCTTTGTCCTCCTCCTCTCCCCACATGTGTTTATTATTTCAAAGCTTTAGGTTTTTTTTAATTAATGTATATCTTTAGCTTTTGTAATAACCGAGATAGGTGAACTTGTGCTGACTGCTGATCCTTTTATACCAAAGTTTTGAATTTTTCGGTTTAGTGGGCATTTGTCCTTATTTTGATTTTACGCAAAGTTCAGAATTTGTTTCCATTTTAGTCTTCCCATTTGAATTTGAACAATATTATCTTATTAAAAATCACGGTACAATTTTTCTCTCTTGTTTTGTTTATTTTTTTTATAAGGTTTTATTTATTTATTGCTAAAATCAAATCAAAATTTAAGCTAAAACAAATCTAGATTTTGTACTAACTCGGAGTAAGATTTAATATTCCAAAATTTCATGCTAAACATTGTTCAACAGGTACATCTTTAATTTAAATTGCGTAAATCCGAATCTTAAATATTTATTTATTTGAAACGAGAAGTATACTAATGCTATAAACCAGTATGTAAATATACTTCTTATCCGAAGGCCCAATATATAACATCGGCTCAAATATATACCGAATGGGCCCATCATTTCATTTCTCGATTATTATATGATCTAATTCTCGAAACCGATAGGCCACGTGGCACAAAACCAGCCAAAGACCCTTTTTTTGGGTTCACATATCCAAAAAAAAAAAAGCCTCCCTCTCTCCATCAATCCCAGTCTCCCGCATTACCAACAAAATGGCAACTTCCTCAATCCCATCCCCGGCGGTCGTATCCGCCGGCGTCCACCGCCCCCTCCGCAGAACCGTTGCACTTCCCTTTCCATCCTCTGTGGCCGCAAAAACTCACCGACCAATCACTACTCTTCGCGCCTCCTCCGCCGCTGCATCGGCTGGCGGGGGCGCGGAGCTCACTACGGCGATCTGGTGGCGAATCTCCTGCTAGGCCTAACCGTACTGTGGCTACCGCTAACCCTAGCGGCGGTGTCGAGGGCGTTTAACCTCCGTTACAGGTTCACGAATCTGAGAGTGACGGTGATATCGGGACTGACCGGAGAGGACAGGAGCGACTTCTCGTACACGGCGATAAAGGACGTGAAGGTGGTGCCGAGGTTCATCGGAGAGTGGGGTGACATCGTCATAACGTTGAAGGACGGGACGAAGGTGGATCTGAGGAGCGTTCCCAAGTTCAGAGAGATCGCCAAGTATTGCTTAGCCATGGCCGATCAACCTGCGGTCTTGAAGGAATCTGCCCCCAAGGGCTTCTGATCTTTTTCTCTCTCTCTCAATTGATTGTGAATTATGTTCCTAATAACGGATTACATATATATGTATTTACTCGTATATTGGTTTCTGATACGATAAAGTTTGGGGGGAGAAAATATTTTATGGGCTTTTTGAATTTGAAGGTTGAGGTTATTTGGGCTTTTGATTAATGGGCCTCAAGTTAAAATTCATAATATGACGCATCATGATGGGCTTTATAAACGATGGATAGATTGTAATCCAATTGTCAGAGAAAACTTCCACGCGCACCACGTGCGAGTGTTCATCACGCGCCATGAATTCCCGGTAAAATGAGAGCGCGTGGGATTTGGATTTGGATTTGGTGTTGTACCTTTTCACGTCAATAAGCCACTGAACATGTATTATTGAAATATTCGTTTAATGAATTTATTTACTTTTAAATAAATTATACTTTTTTTTATCTATTTTTAATTCCTTAATTCTTTTAGAAGAATTTTTTTTGCCTCATTCTTATCCACGTTCTAAAAAAAATCACAGTATCCCTTTTTAATATTTTCCTATTGATGAGAAAAAAAAGAAAGAAAAAAGAAAAATGAAGACTCAAGTGGCTGTCTCAGTCACGTAAAAATGTTTGTCCGCAGCAAATGAAATAAAATCAATAAACAAATAAAAGTGATATATTATACTTATGTTCATGTTTGGTCCTTACTCCTACACAAGCTCCCGACTTCGGGACATGCTCTCTCCCTTCAATGAGTGCGACCACACACACTATATAGACTTCTAATTTATTTATTAAGCATTTGCATCTTACTTATTTATTTATTCATCCCATGAATGATGTTGTTTTATCCGTAATTTCATTTGCATTTGCATCATCTAAAAAAACTATATATATATATATTAGATTTTGTAAATCCAACAAATTAGGATTAGGATGTGATTTGGGTTTAATTAAGATCCATTGGATTCCAATTTATTCTTGAAACGCTCTTTTTACTATTTTTGAGAAACTCGGTGAAAAATGATACAAGACAGACTTTTGGACAGGAGGTCGATGACAAGTAAGTAGAGCCCTATCACACTCCTATGTATATATATATATATATATATATATATATATATATATGTATGTATGGCTTTGCTTTGATGTCTGACACATTCTCATCAAATCTGAGGCAGTCTTCACCATTTCCATTTGACCACCTTCTTTGTTTTATTCTTCATTTTCTTTTATTAATAAATATTTGTATATGCGTGTATGTATGTGTGTATGTATGGTTAATTTGGTTATGCATGTTATCCATACGGTTAACCATACATACTATAGACCTAATCGGTTGTTTTCAATAGATAAAACCATGTACATAGTGTAAATTATTATTTTTCGTATACACAAAAGATATATATGAATATGGAATATGGATGATGAATTTTACAATCTGTCACTGCAAATATATAGATGGGTCTCTCAACTTTCAGTAAAGAAGATAATTTTGCAGAATTCCGAAATTCTCTCTCAAGCTTTATGTCACATTGTCACACATGCTGTGGCACATTGTGTAAATGTACGGTGCATATGTATATACACGTGCATGTGACGTACGTGTATCAGCATGCATGTATACCTCGTACACAGTTTTTATGTGCATCGACGCACAGACCTCGTTCGGAATTCTTGGATGCGATTCATATATATTTCCTCATAAAGCAACGACAAACTTTGTAGTGGTTCAAGATTTGCACCTAAACAATGTGGACTCATGTTATACTATGCATTTTATAATATTATATATATATATATATATATATATTCGGTGTTTGAAATCATATTTGCTTTGCGATTTAATTTAGATATTCCTAATTAATCATATTTTATTTAACAGACAATTAGCGGCGTTGGGATAATTATTCGGTCAAATGACCAAAGCTGACAATCAACCTTAAAATCCGTCAGGATGTCAGAATTCCATTTAAAAGCATTTTGATTTAATGTTATGAATTAAAATTCTTAATTTATTTCTAGGAATCTTGCTTGTATGGCGTACACGGTATTTGTGGGTTTGGTTAGTAAACGATATTTATGTAATTCATAAATACCAATTAACTGAATACAATCTATATGCATCTATCGATATAATTTGGAGATTCATATCATATAGGTCCTTTACATACAGAGTGGCCTACGATGTACGTATCGATCATAGCAATGTCGAATAAACGAAGCTTTCCAAAATTAAAACCATAACCTCAATATTACATTATTAATATATATATCTTAATTAGGGGTCATATGTCATATTTCTAATGTTTAAAACGGCGATGACAATTCAACCAAGTCTAAATCATTAACAAGAGCCCGGCCGGACTAATATTAACTACAAATCATTCATATAGTGCATATTCTATATATTAATATATCTTGGAAACCATATATATAGACATTTGGTTTGCCCGATTAATCTGACGATTAAGGTTATATACATAAACCGAAATCGAATTTGATGGGCCTAAGCTAGATTAAGGAGGGCATCGGATTCCCACAAGCTTGTGGGCATAGGAAGAACCAAAAAACTGGAAGTGGTACCAAGAGCGTGCATTGAATGAATTTTTCAAAAGCAAAAAAAAAAAAAAGTTTTTTTTTAGGGTTTTAGAAAGAAAAAAAAAAGTTGGCTCAAGTTTCTAAAGCGAGGTGCCCACACGGTTGTAGGAATCCCAAGCAATCGAACCATCTACGAAATATTTTAAACCTAATTATTATATATATGCATGTATTTAAATACATCTTATGATCTAAAAATAAATAAAGCTCAATTTTTTGTTTGCACACGTGGTGCAAACTTGTGTCTTTTTTTATTTTATTTTCTGGTTTTCCTCTTTATTTTCACGATTTACTTTAACAAAAACAAATTTTTATATAACCGAAAAGGAAATTGGATATTCAGAAACAACGTCGTAATTAATATATAGTTCGATTAGTTGCTCGTTTGTCCATTTAAAAGCAGCGTGATAATTTAAACGTTCAAACTATTTTAATCATTTAAATTGATAATACCAAAGCTTTTTTTACTCGCTGTTTACTCATTTTTCAAATTTTGGAGGGATGGTTTAAATTCCATTTTCTCTCGGATTCTTACACTATTTGTTCTAGGAAAATGTAAGAATCCAAAATACATTTATTTATATTTCAATGTAAACAAGAATCCAAGGAACCGAATTCTTAAAAAGTAGTTTTTTTTTATGATTACTAACACGTATTCCTTGATTTAGATATAGTCCACGCTCATATCTTCAATTTTTTTTTATTCAATTACTTTTCAAAATTTTATATACTGTTTTTATATTTTAAATAAGTCGAGAATAAAATAAAAGAGCAAAAATAATGATGACAAGGGAGCGTGTCTAAATATATATCCCAAATCATAAGTATTATCCAATTCAATAATCTTAAAATGTATAAACAATCTCCAAATTATTTTTCAAATTAGGAGTTTGGTCATACAAAATATGTGCTTTATCAAATTTCTTCTAGAAATTTTTCATGCTTTTACTTTATATTTTGGTTGAAATGTTGTATATATACGTGTAAATCATTTTAATATCACACTACGATTATATATAGTGTGATCATATGCATGGTTTCCAGTACTGCCACATGTTCATTTCAACACAATAACTATCAGGATTAAATGGTCTATAAATAAAATATTAAATGCCTAACATAATGTTTATCCCATCATTTCAAACAAATACCGAACATACAATAAAATAGAAATGTATGTTCGAATATTCCTTAATTTCTATAATTTATTTGTAACCAATAAGATTTTATGTTTTATGCACGAAAAACAAAAAAAAATTTGACAAATTGTACTTAATTAAGGCCACAAATTTAGCATTTCTCTGTTCACATTTAAAAATGCCACTTCAATTGCTTGTTTGGCTTGTTCCATACTATTTCAAATATATTGTTTAATTCAATATAAAAAAAAGTTAGATTTGTGGACTAATGATATAAATTTATAGTAATTCTTTTAACGTATATAAAATTCAAACCTTATTTCTAAGTGTTTACCAATTAAAAATATCAATACAAATAATATAAATCGTAAATTTGAATAAGCGGATACACATCTTTATAAAACAATGGTGACATATAAAACTATATATAATTAATATTCTATATCCTATAAATTGACATATATAATCTTTAGTCTTTATTCGTTGTGTGCCAAATAAAAGATAAAGTTTATCATATTTCTTTCTATTGTTAAAAACAACTTTTTTTGTTCTCTTTTCTAGAAAAAAAAAGAACTTTGTTCTTTGAATATAGAAATAACTGTTTCTTTTCTTAACTTCACAATCCATAATAATACACTACAGAAAATGTACTTAGATAACTTTATTGTCTGTTAAGGCAGATAATCATATATATATATATATATATATATATATATATATATATATATACGCAACACTTTTTCAATTTTGAAAATAATTGATAAAATATATATCTATATGCACCGGTAACTCTTTTGTTACAAATAATTAGCACGATCATGTAAATATTTAGAGAAAATACGAGTATCTATTGAATGTGTATATTTTTGTGTGATAGTGAAATTCAAAAATATTTTTATTTAATATGTTGGCTTAAATTGACGATCGATTCGTATTCCATCTGGTTGATATTCTATAAATACAATTAGATTGATGTTGAAACTATATTTGAAATATATAGTAAACAAAAAATATTGAGTGTATGAACAATGAGATTATTAGTTTTAAATATTCCTACAAAAAGAAAATTCTCAATTGAGACCGTATAACATCATTGCATCAAATCCTATGAAAGGTGGAATATATGATTGATCTCATATGTGCTAATGTAATTGATACTTAATCAATTAAGATTTAGTGGAGAGCCATAATAACCAAAGACAATAATTTCTAAAGATTTACAATTTAAAATAAAGATGTGACTAATTTGATGATCACTTAGCCAAATTGAATATGAAATGAAGCACCTATATATATATATATATTATGAAATAAATGCATGGAAAAGCAAAATAAAAAAGTCTCTAATTTTGTCATAATATGCATCGCATCACTATAGTTGTAGCATTCTAAAATGATTGAAGAGACGCGGATACGTATATATATATACTTACATACG